TGAATGACCTCTCAAATAAGAGTTGATTACAAATGAGGGATTAAGAATTTCCTCATAAATATAGTCTACTTCAAATAAGTGAGGGCTTAAGAATGCCTTTGAAAATAACATGTTAAGATCTAACAAACGTTCGACTGCAATTCGGTATAATGTGGACTGAAACAACCTAAAATACAATATAATATCTCCACGCCACATATACAAAATAAAATTGGGCCTATTTGTCACCTCAAAATAATCATTACGGTAAAGTGAAATAATGATAGTCAATTTCAAGGCTATCATTTATGTTAGGCATTGGACTTATAAAATATATAGTGAATAACAATCATCTCGCAAGACAAGGCATCTCGTGAAATGAATAATAAAAATCAACTCACAAGGCGATGTATCTCGCGAAGCGAGGAATAGATAGAACAATCATCTCGCGAGGTGATAAATAAATAGAAATGGATCTCACTAAGCAAAGAATAAGTTGAATAATCATCTCGCAAAGCAAGAAATAAACAGAACGATCATATCATGAAGCGACGGACGACAAAGTGCTTTGATGGAGGCTATTGGTTAGTGGATGCTACCCCCATTGAAAATAGGTGGGTGGTTCTCCTATATCGATATGCCTGCATTTGAGGCAATAGCTTAAAGATGTCACCCCTTCAATAGGTGGTTGGCTCCCTTATGCCTATATTTCTTCAAATGAGGCAATAGGTTAAGGATTGCACCCTTCCAATAGGTAGATAGCTTAAGGATGTCACCCCTATGCTAAGTATCATCTCAGGAGGCAATGAATAATGAAATGAAAAATAGGCATCTCGTGAGGCGAGGAATAAATATCCCCATATGGCAGGAATAGGCATCTCATAGCGAAGAATAAAATCTTGCAAGAATAAAAATAAACATCCTGCATGATGAAGAATAGGCATCATGGAAGACGAGGAATAAACATCTCGAGTAGCGAGGCATAGGCATCTCACAAAGCGAAAACATCTCATGTATTGGACAATAAGCGTCTAACGACGTGAAGAATAAGCATCTTGTGAAGTGACGAACCATCTCATAAAGCAAGGAATAAACATCATATGGGATGAGGAATATGTATCTTGCGAAGTGAGGCATCATTAAAAATGATATTCTGACCCACTTCACACTTAGAAGGGGATGGATAGGTATTCCTTGTTAAATTTTTATTTATTAATAATACTCGACAACCTGCCACAAATATTTTATTCAATATACAAGAAATAATCTTTCTAGCACATCAATCAACAAAGCAAGTAAATGTGTTGAAAAGTAAATAGCACCAAAAAAAAATGTAAGAGGGAAAAACACTAGAAGAACTCTTCAAAAAGAAAAAACACTAGAAGTAGTATCTAAAGTGATCAAACTCTACTGATTTTTCTTTATATTCTGGGAGACACACTCGAACGAAACCTCAAGTACCTACGGTAAGGGGGGAATACGTTTTAAGGAAACTATGTATGCACATGCCTCGATTTGCAGATTCATTGTCTTTCGGGCGCTTTACATATTTTTGCAGTTTTTAATTCCCTTTTTGGTTCTTTCCAAATTAATCAAATATTATATTGTGCAATTATTTGTTCTAACAAAATGTGGTTGAACGTCATTAACGCACGTTTTCTCATAGACAATGTCAATTTGTTAACCTCAAAATCCAAACAAACAAGGGGAGAGAGAGAGAGAGAGATTAGTGGACAATGTCCATGCCCGAGAAGAGTTTGCTCGATTTCATCCGATACACTTCAACTGACATAATTGATGCTTAGTTAGCCACGTGCACACCACGTGATTCATTGGTATAACAATAACTTTCGATAAATTTCATCTTTGATCACTTGTATGATAAATTTTATTATTTTACTTGGAACGGTGAACTTCCATTTACTTTCAAATTTCACTATTTTGACACGTTTCGTCATCTATAATCCACAAACATAATTACTTAGTGTTTTGTCATACAATAACTTATTTTTCTCGTAATTTTCATCATTTGCCCAATTAAAATTTGCCAAAAGTTAACGCAAATGGAATTTACCCAACAATTTCTTTTCCTTTAAAAAATTGCAATTTAATTATGTTCAATGACAAGGAGCTATGATCACCCACTCGTCACATTAATGATTGGTTTACACTTTTTTATTTTAGCATTATTGGGCCTTTGAATTCGGTGATTATTTCAAAGTCCATCAATGTATCATTATCAACCACGAACAAGTTTCATGTCACATCAATCGAAATGCTATTGAAAAATGTTTGTTGTCTATCATCATTTATATATTTTTTTCTATAAATTGATGAAGTGTCAAAAAGAAAATGCATATATTTTTATTTTTTTTTTGGTTGAAGAGATTTTAAACCAGTTAGATCTCGATACATCATCTGTTGGTAAACAAATCTATAAAATGTGACGTACATGTAGTACAACCGAAAGATGAGTTCAAATTCTAACAAGGGGAATGATATTATATTGTCTTAATTTGAGTTTCATTTTATTTTATTTAAAAAAAATGAGTAATTGATAAATATAAAGCACTTGTAAGTCCTACAAATATGTGAATAAAATTAATATTTAACTTTCAAAAATGTTTTTTTGAAAAAAGAAAATGAAACTCAAATTTAGGCGTTAATTGATTTTTTATGATTATATTTCATTGTAGTTAGTAAGGTCACATGATATGGGACCATTTCTATTGGAACAAACAAAACACATGTCAACAAGAAATGGATTCTTTCTATTATAAATTGAATGCGTGTTTCATCCTTTGTCTATACTCACTCGAGAAATTGTAGCATTACATCGCAACCTTTTGTGTAACTTGTTCTTCAATCCGTATTTGATATCAGGCTTTAAACTTTTTAATTTTATTTTATCACTAAATGTTAGAGGAGATGTTTATATTTTGAAGGGTTAAAATTGATAAAGATTGCAAAATTTTCTGCCCTATTCCACCATGCACGGTCATGCTTCAAATGGTGAACACGGTAGATGAACATGGTCCTTGTCTCGATTATTTTTGAATCCATTCCGAGGCAATAGATGGGATTCTTTTAATCATCGCTTTATCCTGCTCTCGAAAATTCCCAATGGAACGTAGGTGGTAATGACCGTAATTTCTTCCTATTTGTTGGAATATAGAAAATCACATAGAAAAATTAGAATTAATATCTCTAGAAGCCAAACAGAAGACTTCTTCTGTTATCTGTAAATAAATAGTTAGTTAGTTAAAGTCAGTTAGAAATTTAATTGAGTAAATAAAGTGTATAAATAGACCCTTCTGTAAAGCTATTAGTACACACGAGACAAATGAGAATTACTCAAGTCTCAATTCATACAATTCTCTGTTTTCAAACTTTGCATATTACATAAATTTACATGGTATCAAAGGTTTGCTTTCATGAGGTATAGCCAAGTAAAACGAGTGAGTTAAAGTATTGAAATGTTTAAAGATAACTTTGCTTGATCTATTTACATTGGAGACTACATCCTTATATAATCGATCAAGAATATTCTAGAATGGAGCTAACAATTTCTTAACTAATTGTACAGCTGGCTAACAAAGTTAATTCCAGTCCTAGAATCTAGGACATGCATTTTATATTTTTATTTTTTTTTTGGTTGAAGAGATTTTAAACCAGTTAGATCTCGATACATCATCTGTTGGTAAACAAATCTATGAAATGTGACGTACATGTAGTACAACCGAAAGATGAATTCAAATTCTAACAAGGGGAATGATATTATATTGTCTTAATTTGAGTTTCATTTTATTTTATTTAAAAAAAAATGAGTAATTGATAAATATAAAGCACTTGTAAGTCCTACAAATATGTGAATAAAATTAATATTTAACTTTAAAAAATGTTTTTTTCAAAAAAGAAAATGAAACCCAAATTTAGGCGTTAATTGATTTTTTATGATTACATTTCATTGTAGTTAGTAAGGTCACATGATATGGGACCGTTTCTATTGGAACAAACAAAACACATGTCAACAAGAAATGGATTCTTTCTATTATAAATTGAATGCGTGTTTCATCCTTTGTCTATACTCACTCGAGAAATTGTAGCATTACATCGCAACCTTTTGTATAACATGTTCTTCAATCCGTATTTGATATCAGGCTTTAAACTTTTTAATTTTATTTTATCACTAAGTGTTAGAGGAGATGTTTATATTTTGAAGGGTTAAAATTGATAAAGATTGCAAAATTTTCTGCCCTATTCCACCATGCGCACGGTCATGCTTCAAATGGTAAGCACGGTAGAGGAACATGGTCCTTGTCTCGATTATTTTTGAATCCATTCCGAGGCAATAAATGGGATTTTTTTAATCATCGCTCTATCCTGCTCTCAAAAAAATTCCCAATGGAACGTAGGTGGTAATGACCGTAATTTCTTCCTATTTGTTGGAATATAGAAAATCACATAGAAAAATTAGAATTAATATCTCTAGAAGCCAAACAGAGGACTTCGTCTGTTATCTGTAAATAAATAGTTAGTTAGTTAAAGTCAGTTAGAGATTTAATTGAGTAAATAAAGTGTATAAATAGACCCTTCTGTAAAGCTATCAGTACACACGAGGCAAATGAGAACTACTCAAGTCTCAATTCATACAATTCTCTGTTTTCAAACTTTGCATATTACATAAACTTACATGGTATCAAAGCTTTGCTTTCATGAGATATAGCCAAGTAAAACGAGTATAATCATCTAAGATTCTAAGAAGATAGCTATATCCAGAATAAGAAACTGTAGAGAAGGGACCCCAAATGTCAACATGAACTAACTGAAAAATTTTATTTGATTGAATATTTGATACAGGATAGGAAAGCCTCTTTTGTTTAGCTAAGGGGCATATTTCACATACATGATTTTGAGGAACCTTTATAGAAGAAACAAGATTACTAATTATTTGTAATCTTGCAGATGGAATCAAATTGAGTGAGATAGGCTTGAGAGGAGTCTGTTTGGTGGCTACCGACATGGGTTTTAGTCGAAAAGGGGGTTGCGGCCAACATGGGTGTAGCAGGAAAGGATATTGTCAGCAGTTTGCAGTGGAGGTGACGCCGACATCAATACCAATGGTTGAAGACAGTAGTGTGATTTTGATTTTTGGGGTGGGGGGGATAGACTTTTGTATTTTTCTTTTATTTATTTTATTTATTTAAGTTTTTTAATTATTTAATGTGGTAAACAGATAGTTACCATTTTGTCCCCTTTTAATTGATTAAAATATGGTCAAACTTAATTTTGGTGGTCAGCTGATGGAAAAATGGATGGAAACCATCCAAAAGAGCCTCACTTGCAATGGTTGAAAAAATTGGGCTGACAGTTGCAACAAAGCAAAGTCTGAGAAAAGTCTACCAATATTTCAAAGATTTGAGATTTTTGCTGCACTTATCCCTTAAATCAATAATGTATGATACAGTCTGATTTTGTCATTCATTGATTATCTTGGATAAGCTTCTTGCTACTAGTCAGATCATGACTAATGCCCATAATTTTATACATAACGTTAATTTTCAAGTATTCTCTTATATTTTAGTGGAAAATTTTGCCATCAAAATATTTCTTTAAATTCTTTTACTATAATGGACGATTGGATCAAAGTCAATTTTTGATAATTTCCGAAATTTTAATATGAATTTTGGTTAGCTCATGACAACACACGTGTAATGCACGTGTGTAACATGTATTTCAATAGGAACTGTCTTTATTTTATATTTTTGAAATTCAATTTGAAATCTAAGAATATAAATACAAAATAAGATAAAAATAAAAGTCGGAATATGAACCCTCTTCCCCGTCGCCTTGATTCCTTGACAGGGCGTGGCATTTTTCCATCTCTAATCGAAGGGACTTAAAGAAGAATTTAATATAGAAAAAATAGGGAGGCCAACATTCTAAAATCATCAATTGTATTGAGTAGTGAGACTTAGGGTCCGTTTGATAGCAATTATAGAAAATTGGTGGAAAGAAAACGAATTCCAGGGAAAGTAATTAACTATAACTTGTTTTTCAGAGAATTGTTAATTAAGTGTGTTTGATTGGTATAATTTTACACTCGAGAAAATTTTTAAATTTTGGATTTTTTTTGTTCACGTTTGGCTTTGTTTTACATGGAAATTGTCCATTAAAGTGATAATTTTTTCCACAATTGATTATAAAATTTGTTTTCATTTCCAAAAAGTAAAAACAAAAAAACAAAAAAAAATATTTCCTAGAAAATCATTTTTTCATCAAAATTTAGTGTTCATTTGACTTTGTTTTACAAGAAAATTTTCCATTAAAGTGAAAAAAAAAATTACAATTGATTATGAAATTTGTTTACATTGTAAAAAAACAAAAAGATGGAATTCCATTTTCCCACCAAAATTGTAGGAAAATGATTTCATCAAATTGGAGGAAAAAGGGTGCGTGAGGTAAGGAGAGAGAAAACAACTGGCTGGGAAAATGTTGTCCATCAAACACCACATTTTGTGAAAAATGGAATTTGTTTTCCATGAAAAAAGCACTCCATCAAAGAGGGCCTTAGTGGAACGGTTTTGCTACGGGTACATCACCCCTTACACAAGGGGTGACATAATGCCCAACACCGCGGAGGAGTAACCTCGGGCGTCTCGGCCCACATGCGGGGTCTCGGCACCTCTCCAATGAGGAGGTGCCACTTGAACATTATGTCACCCCTTGTGTAAGGGGTGATGTACAAGTAGCATTATTCTTAGTGGAATTCCCTAAGGAATTGTTTGTAAATATTATATGTAAGTTTAGAATGTCAATCACAATCATATGATGTCATTGATCTCCAATGCATATTTAGAAGGGTGAGAATCAGTAGAACAAAGTAGTTTTATTTAGTGCTTGCTTGAAAGAAAAAATCATTCGAATCACTCTTCACTCTTATCGTCTCTCTTTGATTTCTTGAAACCAAAATTCAAGAAATTATGACTTTCAAAATTCCAGTGATATTCCAAAAAAATCACAAATAAATAAAAAATAAGTAGAAAAGTCATAATAAATCCATGAAAACAAGTATAAACACTTATGGGCTCTTCTCTTCGTATTTCAATTTTGTGTTTTTAGTTTTGAATTTGAGTTTTGTGTTTTGAATGTCCATTTTGAGATTATTGAAAACGTGTTCTTTTTGACATTTTTTTTTTTTTTTTGAAAATCCAAAAATCTCAAAACGTGTTCCATCTTTTCTTCATCTTCTCCCTTAAATTAAATCCAAACCCCAATTACTCAATTCATATATACATAAATTCTTATATTACTTCACACTAATTCCGTGGTAGAAGGTGGTGTCAATGACGGTGGCGGTGGCAGACCCGAATCGGATCAAGTGTAAAAACCCACGAGCTATAATGAATCATTTGGCGGCCGACTACAATTTACAGTGGAGCTGAGGCCCAACGAAACTACAATTGTATCGTGGAAAAAGCTTCTCAAAGACGCCGCTTCCAATAAGATCAATGGGAATGGCCCATTGGTCTCAGGCCCGTCCTCTGAGCCCCACCACACCATTCCTGATCCCGCTCCTGCTCCGCCTTTGGGGGCTTCATCTTTAAAGCAATCCAACGAAAATGTAGCTAAAGATTTACAAGCACAACCCACCTCCAACCATCTGAGTAACGTGATTGAAAGAATCAAGCGCTTGTATGCTGTACGTTCTGAATGAATTGTGTGGTGGCGATTTTTGTGGTGGTTCTGGTAACGGCAGTGTTGGTTGGGGTAATATTGTGGCTGTAGTGGTGGTTCCAGCGATGGTGGTGGTTGCGGTGATATTGGGGGGTGGTGACGGTTGGTGGTGTTTTGCAGGTGGCAACGGTGGTGGTTGGGAGTAATAGTAACTGAAAACAACAAAAGCACGCTTTGAAATTTTGGCCAAGTTATAACTGAAAATATCCAAAACGTCGTTTTGGATTTTCTTTGTAAATTTTAAACTTGTTTTCAAAAACGTACTGCAAGTGTACGATTCGTTAACAAGTAGTAAAATTGATTTTGAGTCCAAATATCGTATCTGTAGAAATTGTATTAGTTTAACCTCAAATAAAGTTAACATTAACCTTAACCGAAACTATGAAAATTGGCGATTTGTCAATGACTAATTTGTTACGAATTATTTTACTTAAAACTGCAAGGTCTAGCTTAAAAAAATTCAATGCAAAATTGTGATTTATGCAAGTTTGATAAAATACACACTAGTATCCCAAATCCCATTGTATCAATCCTCCTTTGACTCTAAACTATTGAATTTGATAACACGATTTAATTATGAAGATTAATATTCCTAAATTGTTTAATAATCTCTCTCGAGTAGATTTAAACTTATTCTTACATGTGACGATGGATGCGAACATAAAATAATGCATTAATGGATTTGTGAATACATAAAGATCACGTAAAGTATATCGGTATATTTTTATTATCTATCGGACTTTTACGACAATCATGACTATGTATAACTTATTTTCAATCTCTCGAAAGTAAAACAGGTAACAAAATTCATGCAATTAGTGATCAAAATAATTGCAAAGAAAATAAATCTCATCATAATTGTTCAAAACTAAAAATGTGCTTTAATATCAAAACAAGATTCAAACGTTAAAGTTTTATAATACAAGGTTCATCGTGGTCCAAACTTGAGATTACTTTAGCTCGGCATGTTGTGAAGAAGAAGAAAAAATAGTTCATCACCCGAAATTCTTGAATTTGATGTTTGGATTTCTTGAATTCAATCTTTTGTTCTTTGCCTTTTTTTGCAATCAATTCTCTACCCTAATTTTGAGTTGATAAACTGTATTTATAGTACTCTCCAAAAAGTCCCAAAAGCCTCTAAAATTCGTGCAAATAATGGCCCAAAAGGAAGTTTCCTTGTTGGAGTTGAATTCTGAACGAAAATAGCATTCTGTTCACACATTTGCTTGGGCGAAATCCGAGCACTCGTCCAGTTATGTGTTTTAGCCTCTATTTTTGAAAATTCAAGTTGGTGATCACCCAAATTCCATTTGTTATTCTTTTAAGCCCTTTTCTTTTGCAATTTTTGTCCTTTAACTTTTAATTGCATCCAATTGAACCCGTAACATCTTCAATCTTTATTTTATGGTCCGAATCAACTATTGAAATATTGCAATTTAGTCATCTTCTTCATTCTTTCCTTGATTTTGATCCTCCACTTTAAATCACTTCAATTTTGGTCCTTCAAATTTTATTCAAATGCATATTAGTCCCCAAACATTCATCCAATTGTCAATTAATCGTTCTCTCTTTTCCAATTTGCTTAGAAATGGGTCCCAAAATTGAAAAGCAAAAGACAATTAATTCAAGTTAAGTAAAATTCATTACTTTGATGATGTAAAAGTTTAGTAATATGGGACAAATAAGTGCATAAAACGTACTTATCAAACAAGAACCAAGAAACCAAAAGACAAAATCTCTCTCTTCGACATGTGAGACGAAAATTCGAACCCTAATGTAGAGCAATCTAATGTAGAGGCACTTGGTCATTTTCGATCGTACCAACTAAAATTTGGAAAAAAATTCAAGAAATGGAGAGCGATCTGATGGAGATCAACCGAACCCAAATGTAGAGCAATCTGATGCAAAGGCACTTGACCATTTTTAATCTACTACTTTGACTCAAAACTTGGAAGAAAACTCAAGAAACGAAAAACAGAATGAATCACCGTTACAATGCGTAAGGAATGACAGCTATTTTTAATGAAATCTTTTGTCATCTCCCTCAAGGCAATATCGTGAAGTAATATGGAGCTGTGTCGCCATTATGGTTAGTTATTTTGAAGAAATTAATCAATTTGTTGAAAAATTAGGTTAGACACAGAAACGTTGTCGACACGTTGATTAAATTTTTTAAATTTCTTCATTTAATACAAATTTAGTTTTGTGCTCGTTATTAATATTTTTTTGTTGAAATCTTTTAAATATAATCGACTAGAACAATCATATTCCAAAAGTAGAACACCCTTTTTTTTTTTAAAAAAAAATCTAAGTATATTCTTGGCTATCACTCAAAGTTGAGAAATGGGGGGATAGTTGGCCAGGCCATTTCTATCCACTTATGACCAAAAATTTGATATATAAAAAATGTGGTTATACTACAAGAATTTTTTTCTTCCACCACTGTTTCATTACAGTAAATTTTAAAACATTTGTGCATTGAAACTCATGTCTCCAACTTTTCTCATCTCATTCTTATTATTAAAATTCTATAAATTGTTAGCATCTTATTTTGGATGACGTTACTGTTAAACAATCCAAAGAAAATAAAGAAAAAAAAAAGGAGGCTAGAGTTTCATTAATTATGCATAATGCAATTGAACACAAAAGAATGAATTAACCTAGAAACCAAGTTACTATATATAGGCTAAATAAAGGAAATTGAAAAGAATATTCTACCCTTAATAAACAATAAAATAAAATAGCCATATATATATATATTTAACCCTATATTTCTTAACAAAAATAA